GAAGTCAAATTTATGTCTGATTTTTATAACTTCCAATATCAAAATGACTTATGTATTCAGCATGTCCCTGAAGATGAATCAGCACACAAAAGTATTTTGGATGTTGTGATGGAAATTGTCAAAATCTTTGTTTTAACTATGCAACTTCATTTTATTTTAATTGTATAACTAGAGAATTGTGACACTCGAAACCGACATTTAAATGAGTGAGTACTGTGTGAAACAGCAAACATTACTCCATTATGTGCAGCATACCATTGTCCTTTACGCAGGGATTGGGATGGTCAGGGACAGGGAAAGAGTGAAGGGGGCTTTTGAAGGGGGCTTTATTAATTATGATATTAATTTCTTTAAAAACATAGTGATTTTGTCATTTTGATGCAACTATGTTTAAAAATGTGAGTTTCCTATCATCCTCATCAAAATGCCCTGCTTTAGAACTAGATAAACTGTAATGAGCACAATTATATGAAAATAATCTTAAGGCTACAAAGAATGAAGAAAAATGATTAAGAAAAGATCAGGCTAATGATTTAATAATTTAATTTTAATAATGATCATTTATATAAATTATACAATATCATGGGTATAACGCTTTTATCCTTGTCCCCATTGCCTCCTATCCCCTCCAAAAAATGTCATTTCTGAGTCTTTCATTTTTTGGAATGGCATTAAAATCCTAGGCAGAATCTAGAATCCTTCTCACCAGTCTCAATGGTGCCTACCCCTCTCTGAAACTAAGCTAACCTGTAGCAAAGCCTAGAAGAGAGTGCAGTTCTTCAACATATTAGCTGAGTGACCTCAGAATAAATTCAGTTTAACCAGTGAGCTAAATTGCGGTCTGCTTTTTATGGTGTTACAACCTGTATTCTTGGTACCAGTTTAGTTCAATAAATATTTGAGTACTTATTTCACCAACTCCATAATTTTAATTTGCATCATATCTAAAATATTCAGTGGTCCTTTCCTACAATTCTTATGACTCATAATCCAAGAAGGCAAAACATTTATAGTGGAAAACATCATGATCAGTGAGCCAGATGAACCCTGTTTAAATGGACTATGCCATTAACTAGTTGTGTGACCCTGGGCAAGTCATTCACCCCTTAGCCTTTAGATTTCTTACTTTTAAAGTGAAAGAGCAGGGAATTGGTTTATTTGATTTCTAAGATCTCCAGTGCTCTAAATAAATAGTTAAAAGTAGCATTTCTGCTTTTAGCCCAAGAGCAATCATATAGCCATTGCTAAAGAGGTTGAGAAATAATGATGCGTATGTAGAATCCACGCCATCACCTTCAAACACACGAAGGTGGAAATGGTGCTCTCTAGTGTTATACCGACCACATGTTCAGATTGCTGAATACACCTGCAGAAATAAATTTCCATTTGAAAGAAATGCAGTCTGGTTGTCTCAAAGAAAAACTAGACACTTACTCTATGGTAGATTTTCTGTAGGTCACCTGGGAGGGAATCCTTGAAGTATCACCTGTACATTTCTCCTTATGTCCCAGTCTACCAACAGCTCCAGCTCAGTGGGCAGATGGGGCCAACAGAATTCCTGTTCCTGGTTCTCTTTGTAAACCCTGAGTTTCTCCGCTGCTAATCCCTGCAGTGCGCAGACTGCCCTTCCCTCACTAGAGCCTCCCCCTTCATTTAAAACTCAGTTTCCAATGCCACCTCCTCCAGGAAGCTTAATCTTCTCTTGGAAACTTCCATGACATATTACCTTCTCTTCTTACATTTACTTCTACCTTGTACCGTATTCATTATAAACACATTTTATCTGCCTTACTAGACTATAAGATCCTTGGTAGCATAATCCTTTATCTTTATCAAGTCTAAATGCCTAGTCTTGTGCCCTTTTTAAGGTATAACTTTCTCAAGTTTATGGAATACCTTGCACCCTGCCCTAATGGTAGGTATCACAATCTCTTTACTCTGTTTCCTTTAGGAAAGGTCTATTTATTTTAATTTTTAGAAAGCTGGATGGGTGTGATTTCTCTGGAAGTATTTTTCAGACTTGAATCCATGTGACTAAGTTGTACATTCAGTTGGATTTCTCAGTAAGAATTTAGCATCATAGCTTTGAGAAGAGATGAAGAAAGTTGCTCTTACTGAAGGCCTGGCCCCTTCTAATCTGATTAGGTTTCATGGTTTATTTTCCAGAGAAAGAGATGAGACAGAGTTTTGTCTAACTCAGATTGGGACAGGCCCAGAGTTAAATATTGGTCTTTGTGCCCCATCACCTCCTTCCCCTTGAAAGATGTCATAAGCACACATTTTTTTCCCTCATTTTGATTTCAGCCAAGGTCATTTTGGGATTTGGATAGTTCCACCATTTAGTTAAACTATGAAGGCAGATCTATGTGCTTTTCAGTGCAGGCATTCTCTTTTCTTTTTGACCCCAGAATATCTCTGTTTTGTGTAGACAGAGACCAGTTGGCAGCTGATAGACTGTCAATTGAAGGGGTGGTGGCAGCAGTAGATACAGGGGAAAACATCCTGATAAGGCCTGGGAGAGAAGGCTGCTTTTTCGGAAGTAGGGCCCATTTGCCAAGAAGGCAGCAAGGGAAATCACTGGTGGCAGAGGATTATAACAAACAGGAAGAGGATACAGATTTGCCAAAGGCTTCTGTGCATCTTTCCCATTCGCAAACTTTCAGGCAGACGAAAAAGTTTTTAAGGTGGTTTTGGGATTTGCACCTACAGGAAGAGTTCCAGTGTACTGTAATGCACCATGCTGCACATTATGGAAATGCCACACAGAGCTAGATTCTATCATAAAGAAATTTGTCATGCGAATTCTGAGAATGTATCGCTGGTGCCAGGGAAGGAAGGCATATCAAAGCAATTCAGGCACACTTTTCAAATGTCTTGCAAATTCATAGCGTACATTTATCCAAATCTACAGCTAAGGCAACAAAAGGTCTCCCAGTTTCCTTATTATTCAGCTTCCCATAATTAAATTATGATAAACAACTTTATCTAAAAGCCTCATCCAGGGACAATCTTTTTAGCTAGAGGAGTTAGTGGTTTCAACTGATTGTACTTATCTGCAGCAATAAAGGTTTTTATTTATTTGATTTTTAATTCTAATTTTATTTATTTTATTTTGTAATGAGTCCCTGGAAAGTAAGGCTGGATTTAGAGATTTTTTTTCTTTTTGTATATTATCTTAATGATTAGTAAATACATTAAACACTCTGGTTTCCGAGAAGCTGACTGGCCACGGTTTTATTTGGGTAGGGGGGAGGGGGAAAGGAAACACGCAACACCCTTCTTCTCTTTTAATTTAAAATTTACAGGAATAATCTATTTTGAGAGGGATATGGAGCATGCTAAGCTAATGACAGCTTTCCCTTCTCTTATTTTTCCCACGTCAGAGCAACGTGCTCGGATCAGCTCCTCCGTGTGTCTCGATGAATGCTGCACCAATTAAGTTTAGCCTCCAAATCACTCGGAAAAAAACGAATAAAATAAACAGTCAGCAAGGCAGGCGAGGGTTACGGTGAATCAGATTAAACCTGTCAGCAAACAGACTCATTTATTTTCAAAGCTATAGTTTCCACAATGGAAACAACCCACTTTGCCTGGAGACCCTTAAGTCCGTTCCGCGGGGACCCGATTTCAATTTTGGACTGAGGAAGTCGGTGGTCCACTGTGAGCTCAAGGACAGCTAGCAGATCGTCAGGTCTCAACACTTGCCAAGCGTTCCTCACTCCCACCCCGCGCCTTCGTACTTTGGTTACAAAAACTATCTGCGATTGCACGCCTTTTGGGCAGAGGGTGCCACTGCGTGGGCAGGAGGCGGCGATTCAGCAGGGGGATCATAGGAGCGGACTCCCAGGGGCCCAGTGCCGCAGAGGCGAGAGGGCGCAGCCGGGTTGAGGGGGCGACAGAGCTCGGAGCTGCAAAGGCCGCCGCGCGGCGGCCCCAGCCAGAGATTAACGGAGGGGCGGGGGTCTCTCCCTCTTTTGCGGGTGAATGAACGCTTAGTCAAACACCACCTCCCCGTCCCGGCCCGCCGGAGATTGGAAGGGAGGAGTCTCGGAGCGACTGTTCTTTTAAGGGCGAAAGGCGTTTGCCTGTGTAGGTTTTTTAATCGACCTTTTGTGTCCTTTCAACTTCGGTCGTCCCAAGTGTCAGGACGCGCAGACAGATAAGCACCAACACGGATCTCTAAGGCCACTCGCCCGGCTGTCCGCTCAGCCCCTTCAGTTCGCTGTCGCGTCCCCGTCAGAGGGAAGCAAAGCAGGGCGTGAAAAGTTGAGGGAGCCCTACTGCCCCGGGTGTGTCGCTCCCTCCCAAAGCTGGGGCACCCAGGAGCGAGCAGGGTGGCGAGGCGCCCCGGCGTCCCGTTTGCGGCTCCCCCGCAGGGTTGGGGCACCCGGGCCTGAGCGCTAGTGCTGCCGCATCCCCCGGGCTTCCCAGAATAGGAGGAGGCGCCGCGCTCGCCGGGCGGTGGAGACTCGCCTTCACGGCTCTGGTTTGCGCCCCGGGCTGTGGCCTCCCTGGTGGGGCTGGGGAACTGGACGCCCAGCCCTGAGGGTTCCCGCTGTAGCGATCGCGCAGTCCCTCCCGCGCCCGGGCGCCCCCAGCGGGTTCCGGCAGGCGCCCGGTGCGCCCCAGTCTCTAGCGGCTGAGCCAGCGCGCGCCCGGAGCGCCGAGACCCGGCGGGGCCGGCAGGAGGTGGGGAGTGCGGGAGTGGAGGACCCTGCCGCAGCGACAGCGACAGCCCCGGGGGCCGTAGCTGCAGCCCGGGCGGCAGCTGAGGGGCAGTGCGCAGCCTGCAGCCCCGCGGCTCCTCTCCGTCTATCTCCGGCTGCCGCAACACCCCCTCCTCCCGGGCCCCTCTCCGGCGTGGAGGGGCTGACTGCTAAGCCACTGCAAGCAACTCCCCAAAAAAAAAAAAAAAAGCCGCAACGGAGGAGCCTGGCCGCAGGACCCCTCCTCCCCGGGAGCCCCCCACCCCTCGCCTATCCCGCCGCCCTCCCTCACACCCCCCCGTCCCCTCCGCCCCCCAGCTCCCGGGCGCCCGCCTCCCTCCTTCTCGGACTGTCTCCCGACACGCCGGCTGAGAGCCCTTTTTGACTGCGAGCGGCGGCAGCGGAGCAGAGGCTGCGGCGCGAGACCTGCAGTCGCCCGGGATTCCCTCCAGGTGACGATGCTCTGGTTCTCCGGCGTCGGCGCTCTGGCTGAGCGTCCCTGCCGGCGCTCGCCTGGGATTACCTGCTGCGTCTTGCTGCTGCTCAATTGCTCGGGGGTCCCCATGTCTCTGGCTTCCTCCTTCTTGACAGGTAGGGGAGGAGGCGGGAGGGACCGGCCCTCTGGGACGCCGGTTTGGTACCTCGGAGAGATGGTGCTGGCTTACCCCGGGGATGGGAGGGTGGGGAGGGCTTACCTTGGCGCTTGCCCTGCGCTTGGTCGATGGGGGATGAAGTGAAGCCCCGGAAGGGCTGGGAAGACTGGGAGTAGGTGAAGAGGTTGCAGGCTGAGAGGCTGTTGCTTTCAATGTAGTAATAATAGACATTCTTCCATGTGAATTTGAAAAATTATTTTATTTATTTTGAATGTTTTCCTCAACTTTTATTTTCATTTTTCTCTCCCTCTGTAGAGCTCAGGGAAAAAAATTGTGCAGTTTTCCGCACATCCTCCTTTCTCATCTATGGGGTACCATACATCTACCATGCTAGGAGTGGTTTTTAAAGCACTGGCTCTCAAGACCATGAATTTAAAGAAACTATCATTTAAAAAGGGCGCTAATAGCCGGACATAATTATTATATATTTTCAGGCAGGTGAAGACCTCAGCTGCTATTCTGAAGGACATACTTTACTGACACCTGGTGCAGAAAAGAAAATATCGAGTCAATTTCTAAGAGAGGGGAAAAGAGGATTGCGTTTCACAAAGTGATTTCAAACTAAGACAATGCAAGACAGATCCGTAGGAAGGCCTGTTCATTGACACAGTTCTGACTTTTGGTCAATTTAAAATCTGCCCTAATGGCCAATTTAAGTTTTTTTATTTTATTTTTTCATATGGGGCTCTGTGTCTTCATAAAGGAGGAGTGTTATTAAAAATCCAGTGAAACACTTGGAATTGTGCTTAAACCATCTGAGAACAGATAATGTATCTGTATATCATAGTCTTTTCTTTTTTTAACCTGTTTAAATAAAATTATTGAAATTGGATTTTGGGGGCAGGGGATTTTCTTTGGTGAATTTAATAATTTAAACCATATTAAGAATTTCTAAAGTTCGGGTAGAAGTTTCAAAAAGGATTCGTGCAAAAATTTAAATGTTGAAATCATGGTACTAAGCTAACTTTAAATGAAACATTTTTTCCCCTGAATTTCAGGTTCTGTTGCAAAATGTGAAAATGAAGGCGAAGTCCTCCAGATTCCATTTATCACGGACAACCCTTGCATAATGTGTGTCTGCTTGGTAAGTGTGGAGATCAGGCAATATGAACTCAATTGCTCTCTCTGATAAGGTGAATCCACTAAATGTGATAATATAACCAGATCTTACAAATTGTCTTTAGTCATTACAAAACTGCACATAACTGTACATAGTTTGTGAGTTGAGTCCAGTTAATTTCTGAGTTTTATGGACTTTGGCAATTTCCATGTCATCCAACTGGAAATTCTTATTTTTGACATCATCCTTATAAATTTACATCCTTAGAGGTAAATTTCAGATAGGCATTGTATGACATCTCCGTGAAAATTACGGTTTGTACTGTCTGTTTCCAGTAATGATTATTACAACCACATCCTCGAAACCACCAAACTTTCTGCGTTAGTTCTGTCATCTATGCTCAGCAGGAAAATGATGAGATAAGATTTAAGTATGAAGTTCAGGAATAAGGTATGCAACAAAGGGAAAGAGTCACAAAAAACAAACATGAGGACAGGATGTAATTCTGGATTTATTTCTTGGGTTTCTTTGCCTGTTATACCCTAAACTCTCAAGTACAGTCTTCATTTCCAATTTGAAAGCATGAGTCAGAAAGGACAATTCCATCCTTCATAGAGAATGACCCTCGGCTGTCAGCTGCTTAGTTAACACTATCAGTGGTTAGCAGACTAAAAAACTAATTTGTGTCCCTTTATTTTAGTATAATAGCTAATGATAAGTCTAATAAGTAACCACTTGGGGGAGATTAAGTAATGTGAATAAGAATACCTGAAATGAAATATGGACCTACAAGAGAAACATTTTTGCTTAAGAGTGTTTTACATACCAATCACTTTTGGCAAAATTTGGTTAGAAACAACACATTACAAAACCCTGTTGGAAATACATTAAGGCAGTCACATGCAAAGCCCCAAAATGATAGAAGACTACTTGTTACTAGATCAGCACGCTGTGTGGAACTGGAGAAGGGATTCATCTCTGTTTAGGCAAAATCCAAGCCATCTGAGTTCACATTACCTAAACTTTTTCATGACAAGGGTTGAGTCAATGTTTTGAAGTGATAAATGGGTGAAGGTAAATGGCTGTATCAGGTTCAGAAGACTAAGGTTCGGAATACTAATGAAATCAGCAGAAACGAGTAAAAATGCACTGCGTTTGCTGACACAATAAATATTGCTGCCTAATAAAACAGAGCTGTGAGAGCGTGTATTATGATTGTGCCTTATGGGCTACCACGTTCATTAATGATCTTTTACTAAATACTTTGTTGAAAAGAAGCTTTGGGTTTAAATTCTGACTCAGTTGTAGATTCACAAATGCAGTGTCTGTGTGTTTAATCTTCCTTTTTAAATTTTTCTTATCTGTAGAATGTGAGTGAATTTTTTTATCTTAATCTATTAAGATTTCAGAGGAAATTATCCTGACCAAGTAATATGTAAATGTTCTGAGAGCTTCACATATAAAAATGATTTTTTTCTGTTCAGCAATATTACTACTTATAAAGTTTACGTATGTAGTTGTTCACAAATAACATGATCAGAAATTCTCCCCACAGCATTCCGTCTTTTGAGTACTCCTACTCCAGCTAAAAATAGTACCTTTCTAGGAAAGTGGAGACTTAGTGATAAGATAGATGTTCGAATCCTGCAGTTCTGAAGGTAAAGAGTAAATCTGAAAGGATGCATCAGTTGGAATTCAAGTGGGAGTGATATTTATTCCAGAAAAGCATCGATTAAGTTTAGAAGGGCAGTAGGTTCATTTATGTCTTTAACATTTAAGTAACAATTGTAGGTATCTGTTTTGGGTGAGTGCTGTCCGAAATCCTTTCTAAATATGTAATATCAGGACTTTGGCTATTGGCTTCACCCGTTATAGAGCTCTTTCATTGGCTGAAAGGCTCAGTGATATGTTATCATGACCTTTGCAGGGGTTTAGAATTAGGGGACCTAAGTTGTCACAGTCATTACTGCTTCCCAAACATTTGTAATGACTTGGTAAAATTGAGTAAGAATAGATAGATAACCACTTATTTCTTTGTATAACACTCTTGTACATTTCCACAAACCCCCTGCAGTTCATGGATTTCAAAGCACTCTACACAGGCAGGAAGCTACTTGGCATTTTTTTTTACCTAGGCTGGAAGGTAGACCTATTTAGCAGATTGATAATATTAGCAATGGTAAACATTCATGTTTACTATTTTAATTTTATTTTATTTTTACTTGTAAGGCCTTATCTAAACCTGCATTATTTCATTTCATCTTCACAAAAATCCTTTGAGGGCTTTTATTTTTATTTTCCAGATGAGAAAACTGAGGCTTAGAGGGCTAAGTAGCTTGTGAAGGTTGCATTTGAGTGAATAGTGGAGCTGAAACTATCTCGTTTTTTTCTGCCTCTAGAGCACATGCCTATCTATAACCGTAAGAAACAACCTATTTGTTGATTTAAAGACGTGAGAAAGTAAGGAGAAAATATAAAGAACGTCCAAATTATATTACCTTTCGGTGTTCCTTGGGTTATTTTTTCTTTTGAGTCTTTCAGGAGTTTGGTTCGTTGACATTTGTTAATCGCATTAAATGAAAGGAAAATTTCATTATGATTTCAGTTGACCTGCAGGGAGCGTTAGTGGTGAGCTGGTTTTATGTATGTACATTAAGAGGGTATGTAATAGTCTCAACTGTACTTTGGATAAAGAAAATAGTCATATTTAGTTTGTGTTGGTCCAGCCTTTTGGCAGAAAGGTACCTAAGGCTGAGTATAAGCTCATATCTTATTTCATAACATGTACTAAAGAAAGAAAGAAAGAAAGAAAGAAAGAAAGAAAGAAAGAAAGAAAGAAAAAGCTAATGTCAACGTATGCTTTAAAAAGACGTAAAATGTTACAGTTGGGAGGAAATAGGTGGCACACAGTCCTGTATATAATTACAGAGTAAAAGCTTGAAAAACCCCACAAAAATCAACTTGCCTGATTTAAACTTTTAAGCTGTGAAATGTTTCAAAGGTTGGAGTGAGCTCATTTCTGTGTAGGTTTAGAGGATGACAGTGGGAGCAGTGGCCACGGTCAGCAGAGCTGGATAATTTTATTCTCATTTATCAACCTCGGCATAGACCCGAGCATCTTGCCAGAACCAGTCCCGATCCAAGAATAACTGGTTTGTTAGCTGGTGATGGAATCTCGTTTTAAAGTGTGTGGCCCAAAAAGCTTCAGTTCATCTATTTAAGGGGGAAGGTGAGAAGTTGGATCATGGTCCTAAAATTGAGGGAACTGGGTAGGCAGTTTAGGTTAAACTGCATGTACTTTATTGTTTAGTCAGAAAGCAAAGCATAACTTTCCCCCACCTTACAAAATGGTCTTTTATGGAGCTGAGGAAGGGAGGCCAACACTTATTACTGTTTTTGTATGATATTTTCCCTGTTTTCTTGCTAGAATTATTTTTCCCATAATGCTTAGGAAAACACATTGGTGCCTGTCCTGGAGGACAGCTGATAGAGGAGCCAGCCATACCTAGATAAAATGAAGCTGAAGCCATTCTCTGATCTTTGGGATGTCCCCAGGTCCACCGAGTGCACATGAGAAGTGGTGCTCCTACTTCTCAGCCTTTTCCACCTAACTGCAGACTAAGAGGACATGGCGGGAGCCAGTGAGCTGGGCCCAGTACTGGAAACCTGAGAAAACTTTGGAGACTGGGACTCAGAAAACCCGAAGTCAGAGCTTAGTTTGGCATACATTTTATTCAGCAAAAAACATTATTCTGAGGTTGAAATTTCCTCTTTTAAATCCAGAGGTGCAATGTAGAAACGGACCCTTTGCTCATAAAAAGCAATGTGAAATTCAATGTTACAAGAATCAGGGCTCCACCTGTCTTGGAGCCAACCAAATAGTGAAGACAGAGAGACCTTGTCTGCTGTCTTCTACTTTTTTAATCACAAAAATTCAATATCGCTCAAAAGGAGCTCCCAGCATCTTAGATTCTCTCCGGTGCCTTATCTCCATAAAATCCTCATGTTCTTCATTGCTCAAATTAACTGGCTGGAGAATAGATTTCTATTATCTAAACAAGTGTTAGGCACATGTTTGAGGATGCGGGAGATAATGTTGCCTGAGGATTCAATTCACGTGTGTGAGCATGTATGAGAGAGAGAGGGAGAGAAGCTATAAAGCAAACCAGAGGTGTTCAGAGAGGTACTGCCACTCAGTATATGCACAAATACATAGATTGCCATACCTTTTCCAAGTTGTTTCATCCCATTTCTAGACTTTGGATGCTCACTAAGGAAGAAATCAGATTAATTTATTTTTACTCTGTTTAGAAGGTCATTTGACCAATTACCTTTCAACAGAACAATTTTGGGGAAAAGTAACAGTTAATGTATAGGATTGTGTTGGCAAATTCACAAAGACCAGTTCTGAAATTTAGTCTTATCCACGCTTTGTTCAGACTCAGAGAAGCAGAGCAAATCTCGTGAGCTCACCCAGTTACTGAGAGACAGGACTGGGATGTGAAGTCAGTTCCTTCTCTGCTAACACAGTTTCCTTCTGCTGAAAACGTTTACTACTTAAAAACTTCTACAGATACCTTCAAGAGCTTCAGGGAGTCCTTGCAGCCTGCACAGAGCTAACATAGGCTCTCTATGAAGCAGTTAGAGTGGTTTTGATCTTCTAATGCAAACCGTCTAGAATTTGGAGAGCCCTTCAAAGGAAGATATGGGTTTTGGCTGGCAACATAACATTTTGGAAAAGAACTTTGGCCCAGACATCAGACAGTCTTGGGTTCAAATCAAACCAGTGGTGAAGTTGAGACAATTACCTCACTTTCCCAAACCTTAGTTTCTTCATCTAGAGTGTGGGATGGATGTCAGCATCTAGTTCACAGAGTTGCTATGTGAATTAAATGAGATGTCGCAGGTAAGGTTTGGATTGGAGCTTCGCATAAACTCTCCAGAATGATTTTTCATTGCTGTTGTTGATGATAGCATTATTTTAAAAAATTCTTATTTCCTCACATGGAGTAGGATGCAAAGTT